CACCACCAATAAAAAGGAAAAAGATGGAAGATCACACCCACTGTTCTCTGAAGGTGTGGGCATACTGCTGTAACCAGTGTCATTCCAAGGCTGTAGAATAAAACATGGCACTTAAACTCAAGGGAACGTGTTGATGAATTGGTCAACAAAAGAAACAATTATCTGTCTCAKTGCTAAGGAAAGGCAGTTTATAATTCAGGTCATTTTCATCTTTTAGGTTGATTTAACCATTTAATGCCATTCCACAGTACGAGTCTTTATGGTTTAATCATTTTTTTGAAGATGAAGTTTTCATATATTGGTATCCTTTCTTAACCAAAAATAGATAATCAAGTAAAAAAATCAAATTTGATAGCCTTGCAGTTCTTTCAGTTTTCAGAGGAAGAGAATTGGTCCATTATGGCTTAAGGCATTTACCCAAAGCTACGYAGCTGATTAGTAACATAAACAAAGATGTTGTGTCTGCCAAAAACTAAAAAATAAATATTAAAAAAAAATTCTCTCGTTAAAAAGAAAAAAGAAACTAAAGAGAGAATTTTTTTAATATTTATTTTTTAGTCTTTGGCAGACACAACATCTTTGTTTGTATGTGGTGCTGAGGATTGAAYCCGGGCCGCACGCATGCCAGGCGAGCGCGCTACCGCTTGAGCCACATCCCCAGCCCCCAGATTAGTTTCTTAAAACCTAAGTTTCATAGCTCTGTAACACCTAAAACTAAAATCCCACTGATTTACATACCAGGAATGAGATTTGGATTTTTAGTGGAGACAACAATAAACACAGACAATGTGATAACAACCAGTTAATCTAGGTAAAGTATCACTGAGCAGCCTTGCTTAAACTAAGTACCCACCTTTTAATGGAACAAAGTTGTTAAGCAGATCAAGAATTAGGATAGAATATATTTAAGAGATACTATGTCTGATAGCTCCAGTGCCTATTAGTATGGGAACTTGGAAGTCTCATAGGAATGAACACCTTTACTTCTTTGCCAGCACTGTAATAGCAGTAGTGACATAGCTGTGAGAGTGGTCCCCCTATGGTCAAACTGGGAGTATCTTGTTAAACACAATTTGGTCAAACCTGGTAGAACAGTCCAAGTTTCCCTAATTTTTTTGTAATCAAAAATTGGAAAATGTATCTACTATGTCCCTGATACTGAATAAGAGATGAAGTGAAAATTTGCACTTTAATATCTTCATTTATTTTCCAATGAACAGGCTTGTACATTATGATGACTGCCTGGATAGAACACTTTATCCCCTTCTTACCAAGAAACACTGGCTATGGACCAGAAAATGTTTTGTTTGTAAAATGTACACAGCTAGGTGAGTAATGTGTATTTTTTTCTTTTCCTTTTACAAGTAATACTTTGCACKTTTTGTTATTTGTTTTAGGTAGTACTAGTAAAACCAGGTAGTGTTTGTTTTGTGAGATCCAAATATGGGTTTCTTAAAAAATTTTGCTGTATGTGATTCTGCATGTTTAGATTACAATGTGTTACTTACTGTAGATAAAAGTAAAACAAAGTTCGGAAACTACTCAAAATAGGAAGAATTTAGTACCTTAAAAGTTTACTTTGGATTCCCAACCACAATATACATAACAAAACTTTTTATTAAATAATGTGATGCTGAGGATTGACCCAGTGCCTCACACATACTTGGCAAGTGCTCTACCACTGAGCCACAACCCCAGCCCCAATAATACACATTTAAAGGATCAATAGAAAAACAAATCAGTTTACCAGATCAAGATATTAAAAGCAAACATTCCATGAAATGGAGACTTCAATTAGACTGGAAAGTAGTATTTTCATCCTGTGAACAGTTAACATTCTCAATCCCMAAAACAATCTCACTTGAATATCACTATGCACACATTCCCTTGTGTCTRATTTAGAATTTAAAACATTTGTGTTTTCAGAACAACAGTACTAATATACCAGTTTTAAAAAGGAATTGTTTCCAGAAGCACACATATTAAAATTAGAACAGTACAGGTGGGACACAATAACATAACTGTAATCTAAACAATTTGATATATTTCAATATAACTGGAAGAGTTTGAGGTTTGCCAGCATGTAGAAGTATTTTTTTAAGATAGGAATGCTAATCACCACACGTTGCATAGGTGCTGCAAAAAAAAAAAAAAAAAAAAAGTATATTGTTGCAAAAAACCCCACAAAAGTATATTGAGTCTGTGTGTTTAATATTGCCTTTTAGAAGAAATAGAACGTGTCTGGAGGACAGGTTATATCATGGCAAATGTATGCTTTTGAGTATACATTTTGAGATTATTATAGTTTTCTACTTACCTTTAAAAGGAAGTTTTACAAAGCAGCAGCATTAGTGTTAGGGGCTTGGACTGATAATAGTGGGAATGTTCTGTTTACAGGTTATTGCATGTTGAGGCATGAAAAACTTGATTCATAATGACATACATCTTTTTCTAAAAACTACAGATGGGTGACGAACAGTGACAGTTTTGCACCAGAGGACCCATGTTTCTTTTGTGATGTTTGCTTCCGAATGCTCCACTACGATTCAGAAGGCAACAAACTGGGGGAATTCCTTGCTTATCCTTATGTTGATCCTGGAACCTTTAATTAAAAACAGGTCCAAATATTTAGAAAAATGCTAAATTATTTCACTTAGTATTTATTCCAGAGTATATTTATTTATTGCTTTTTACTCATTTTAATTTATCTTGTTGAAGAAGTACTTCATATATTCTGAATATATTAATCTTTTGTCACATACACAAATTCTGATTMTTTTCTCCCAATCCATGCTTGCCTATTCATTCTGTATCCTGAGTGTTTTTTGTTAATGATAGAATCAATGATACATCAAGCGGTGGAAATGTTTTGAAAATTCTTTGAAGAATGTGATTGCTACACCTTCTACCATGAGGCTTCCAAGGTAAAGATCCTTTAAATATCTGTAATAAAAATTAGGAAGAAGTTAAAAACAAGAGTAATTGTTTTATGAATAATACAAGAATAGCTATTGTGTCATTCAGTGGTCTCTTGTGATATTAACTTATATCTTGATATGAATAAGCACACAAGACATTCATGTATCTCCCTAGATACATGAGTAGTGAATGTAAAAAGCTCAAGTATGTACACATCTTCACAGTATTTAAAATAAAGCCTCACTTCTTGAAATTTTGTATATATCACAAATATTATCGGTTTAAAATGTCAATTTAAAAGAAAATAGCAGATTGGGTATTACCATGGAGACAGGGAAAAATCAAGATCCAATGGATTGAGCAATAATACTCAATAATATGTAACAGTTTTCTCAAAAAGAGGGAAAGAACACTTTTCTAACCCAGCTCTTCCATTCACCTAATCTTATAACTTAYGGAAAAGTTTTGAGGTGATGTTTTGCTATGTGGTTCAAGCTACTAGCTTGAACTATCGATCCTCCATCCTCAGTCTCCCAAGTAGTTGGGATTACAGGAGTCTACCACACACCTAGCTTGAAACAAACTAAAGTTTCCTGATTAGAATATTTTCTGGAAACTTTTTTTATTGTAAAATTCAATTTCTTAAGACTTTAAGAAATGCTATAAAATAGATTTTCACTATAATTTTTACTCTCTCTCTCCTAGGTTRTATTTAAATTCAGCTGAATTGTACATTTCTTTGGATGGCTGAGAAAAGACATTTACCATAGAAATCAAAAACTGATGAAGCCTGTAAGCCTATTTCAAAGACTGACAGTGAAGTATGACTCATGGACTTAATGCCACATATACAATATTAAGTTGAATGATATGGTGATGACAAGTACCTGTTTCTGGTATGTCTAGAGGTGTTTTCATTCAATCAGTAGAGGATCAGCATAGGCATAGAGAACTAAAGAGGCCCCTCCATGGCTGCCTTACATTGTGCCTAAATTTTTACTTTCCTGTATCCAGTGGTGCCAGTAACATTGAACAGATAGAAAATTCTGCTGGAAAATCATAGATTTAAGACAAATGAGTGATTTACCCACTTCSTAAAAGTCCACAGGTAAAAGTTATTTTTAATACTGCATTTCTTACACGTCTTGCATTAATATGCTTTAATTTTCATTTCATACTCTCAAAACAGCAAGTCCCAGCAAGTTAATTATCATAATGCATTCTTATTTTATCATTTATTGAGAATGTTATTCTATTCTGATAGTTGTTTCCTGGTGAAACTGACAAGAACCAGGCCATACCACAATTTGCCAAGTAAATGGCCTGGTTCTTATTTGAGTATCCCACCAAGTTAAAAACAACAACAAAACACCCAAATCAAAAACAGCCTTTCTTTAAGCTTATTTCAATCTATTAAACACACCATACTTTACACCATGAATTATGATATAYATCAATGAAGAAATAAGAAAATTTCATGAACTTAATTTTGATATAATAGAAGATGCATGCAAAAGATCACTACACAGAAAAGCAGTTAACTATTTCTTTTAATATTTTTCTCAGGCTTCAGATTCCTTTAGGGATAATTAGACACTGCAGTTTTACTGGGGAAAGATCAGTCATTAGTGTTGGACAATTACACAAGACAAATATAAACATAAAATTTTGCCTATTAATGGCTTCTTTATTTCTTAAGGGTTATCTATTTCTAATAATCTCTGGTCAACTGAACAATTGAGGGGGRAAAAAAAAAAAAGCCTTTGCTCTCATCCAGAATTAGATAGCAGACCTCCTGCTGACCTTACATCTTTAACCAGGTAAGTATCTCACTAGATACAATAGCTGAGCCTTAAGTACTCTGATCAAATTATCCATACAAATTCCCAGTCAGGTTCTCTGATTCAAGCAGCTGAGAAACCTTCAGCAATCAATTACTCTTCCAAAATGTTATCCAGTGATCAAATAGCACAAAAGGTATTGTTCAGATTCTACACATACTTTTTTTGGGGGATGGGGGTTAACAACCTTATTGAAAATTATCTCTTAGCTAAGGAATTTAAACCAAATATTGCCAGTGCCTTAAAGGTCTTATGACCTTTTTTGGCGAGTCCTGAGAGTGGCAGTTATCCATGAATCACCTATGACAAAGAATATTTCAAAGAAGGTTAACTGGTTAGAGCAAGGTGAGCCTTATATTCTCCAGAAGTTGAATATTCTGTGGCTTCTTGGTAAAACTATAGATCTGTTTGGGTCATAGGAAAAAAGGGGAGGGAGAACAAAAAAATATATTAATCACCTTGTGCTTATATTTAGTTAACCCTGTGTCCCCAAACAGGATCAATAACCAGATAACAAAAAAATTATTTCCTTAAACTCTTAAAACAGCAAAGAAGTAATTTACTAATGGAGTTTGATAGAAAAATTCTTTAATCAAAACAAGTTTACACATTTGACACTTATGGCTCAACTAGAATAAATCTAAGTTAAAACTGTTAGGACAAAACAGATGACTGGTGTATATATAATGTAATAGCAGAGTTCCCTCAAAACAGTGGGTCTTAGCTCCATTGTAAGACTTCTAAAAAGCAAAAATTCAATTATCCAAATAATTCAAGTTGAATAGATGAAAATAATTATCAAGAGATCAAAACTTACAACACATGTTACAAACACTGGTATTAAGTCATTTTCCCATATTCATAAGAGTTTCAAAACATATCTACTACCTACCTATTGAAAACCACCAACTGACCTAATATTTAAAATATCTTAGAAATGCTATCCTTTAGTTAACAGACTATTAAATTTTGTGTTAACATTGGTTCTTCCGGATTTAGTCCATATACATCAAAATACAGACTTGTCAAATACTACCTTGGAGCAACTAATATTTCTATTTTTTGTAATCCTGTTACATATATGATATAGAAATGAAAATACAAATTCCCTTCTAATATAGCCACATTTTCAAATAGGTTTCTTTATATAGCATTTATTTATATTTACCACATAAGCATCATGGATTGACTTTTTTTTCCCAATTAAAAAAATACTACTTTGTGACTTCCTTAATGAATGTGACTWAAGACATTTCTCAAAAATAAACATTTTTAGTTTTAGTTATTAGTGCCTGTAATGGATCTTAAATGGTTGAACTCTAAAATCAGATTCATTCATATACATATATAATACCCAGTCTGTTCTCTGCAGGAAAGTCATGTGCCTTCACTAAATTCCCAGCCACAAAACTAAATTATCTTAACATAAGTTGAACCTCATAGAAGTCAGTTTGATGTCAATTGGATAAAAAGGAATACAGATGATACTGTTACAAAAAAGCAGAATGGAGCACAATGTGGACTGATATTAAAATTAACTTTTGATAAAAAAGGAGGGAGTGAGTACTTGTATAGAAGTAACATTTTATCAACCATAAAAATGCTCAACTTCTACAAAACCCACAGTGAAAAGACAGTCTGTCCAAGATTTGTAAAAACTATGCACAAAACCCACAGTATTTGGGAAAAGAGGATTTATACAAGTAGCAGTTTAAAAAATGTAACTGTTTTACTACCAATTACACATTAACATACACACACTAATTGAAAATATGCTACAACCATATCTGGAAAAGCAGTTTTAACATTTCTAAATGGATTACCCCCCAACATTTACTGTATAATGTAGCTGTTAATACTGCACAAGTACAATAGCAATAATGTTTAATTACTTTTAAACAAAGATAATGGGATTATCTCCCTCAAAACAAGTTGTAGACATCAAAACCTATGCTTATAAAAATTTAAAACTTTCAGCAATCTAAATATTTCAAAGGAAAACCATTACAAACTTGTCAAATGTTCTTTATATTCCAGGTATGTCAACCTAGTTATCTAGTGTAGAATCCTTCAGAGATATCTCAGTCTCTCTCTCTTCACCGGATGGCCTAAAGAAAAAGGGGGGAAAGATAGGTGTGACAACTGAGATTAGGGTTTTCTCCTAAGGAAAAAAGGCATTAAATCTGCATTACATTTTTAAAATTACCAAAACATGAAAACAAAAAACCTTGTTATTTAAGACACATCATCTTTTTCAAAATTTTACCCTTGTATCTTCTACCTAAAGTAATTTGAAGATCACAATAACCCAGGAAAGCATAATAGAAAAGAAGCCTTTCCTCTTGTACCAGGAATTGAACTCAGGAGCACWTGACCCCTGAGCTACATTCTGAGCCCTACTTTGTATTTTATTTAGAAATAGGGTGTCACTAAGTTGCTCAGTGCCTTGCTTTTTTGCTGAGGCTGGCTTCSAACTTGCCATCCTCCTCCCTCAGCCTCCCAAGCCATTGAAATTACAGGTGTCCACCATGGCACATGGCAGAATAAGAATTTTTTATCTGTGATGCCAACATACATAGACAAGATTTTTTAATTACACAATTTGAAGGGACGCTTGATTCCACATCCTTTGAACAAACAAAAATTTTGGACAACTACAGTTGTATAGGATTACAGTATAAAATAATCAATGATTCTACATCTAAATTGTTAATGCATTTATCCTTCCACAATTGAAGGAATTTTGAAAGCAAGACATTAACATTGTATTGGGGCTGAGAATACGCAGCTCAACGGTAAAGCACAAGAAAAAGCCACGTAGAAAGATAGACTGGGGAAAACCGTTTTTTATAGAATTCCCACCTAGCTCCATTTTCTTGAATACAGTAGCAAATTATTTGTATACTAGCTTTTGGGGATTTTGGGTGCCGGGTAGACACCTCTCTTGCCAATTTACAATTTCCTTATTGAATTCAAGGATTAAGTGATCAAACTCTAATCACCCCTGCTGGTGCTATATAGAGTGCTTACCCTAGGTTCTACCCTGAGTACTAAATCACCTTGGTAAAGTATTGTGGTCAAAAACTTATGATTACAAAAAAAAAAAAAAAGAAAAAGAAAAGAAAACATGATTCAGGCACTACTCTGCACACCTAAGTCACTCTGAGTTAGGARTATCACTGGAGCCCAGGAGTTCAAAGCCAGGTTGGCTATACAGCAAAACCCCACCTCAAAACACACACACAGACCCATTAAAACATGTCCTCACTTTTTCTTACTGCTGGCCTCATGGTTGTCTTTACTTTCTTCATTGCTATCTCCATTATGCTGTGGCTGATTACTGTCTTGAGCATCAGATCCTCCATTCAGAGTCTTTGAACCTTTAAAAGGATTCCAATGGAAATACTTTAAGATTCAAAATAAAAAATAAAACATGGCTCCTAAGTTTCTAATACTTAATTTTAGGATTGGGTTTTGATGCCATTTCAGGAATATACAGAACAGCTTCACTGTCAAGTAAYATCACTAAAGTCTTTGTGCAGCTAATGCACAGAAATAAACAGTTACTGCATGTACTTATGGGTAAAGGAATAATTAGAAAAATAATATAGTTGTTAATTTTTTATTTACACATAAGCAAACAAAAAGCCCATTAACACAATTAAAAAATAATATGCTCAGCATGACTAAGCACAGTAGCATGAACCAGAATACTCCTATCAGCTGTAAATATAGCAACTTTCAGGCTCCACCTGTGATGCTGTTTGATTTTTGTTTTGTTTGGGATACTGGGAATTGATCTCAGGGCCCATTTTAACCAATGATTCACATCCCAGCCCCTTTTTAAATTTTGAGGCAGGGTCTCACTAAGTTGTTTAGGACCTTGATAAGTTACTGAGGCTGGCCTTGAACTTGTGATTCTCCTTCCTTAGTAGCCCATGGCATACCACCATGCCCCAGTTAGTGTGATGCTGTTTTGATCAAAACATTGAGGGGCTAGGGATGTGGCTYAGCAGTAGAGTGCTCACCTAGCATGTGTGTGGCCCTGGGTTCAATCCTCAGCACCACATAATAAATAAAGGTACTGTGTCCAACTACAATAAAAGATTATGTGTGTGCGTGTGTATGTATATGTGTGTGTGTGTGTATATATATACACACACACCATTATTGAACCCTGGGGATTGGTTTTGTTTTCTGTGGCTGAGAAATGAAAGCTGGACTAGGAAGTGAATCCTCTAGGGAGGAGGAGACAATGTTCTAGATAGAGTTTTTACATTCCTCCGGTCATTTGCCCCATTAACTATGGTTTTTGTGTTAGAACCCTGACTTTATAAACTGACACGATTTCTTGTTCTGAGGGCATGCTGCTGTGCTGCTTAAGTGGTTTGACAGGCCCATCACACATTTTTACCAARCCCTCTGCAGTGTTAATATCTCCACTGTCTGTGTTACCATGATCACCCTGATTCAGAACCATTTAAGACTACCTCAAAGCCAATGAAAATACAATGAAGCCTCATTGTTGATAACAATGTTTTAGTAGTCACTTGCAATTTATTGGCAGATGGTGAAGGTATATTTTTTGCCTATGTAGTAAAGCCATATTTAAACCCTCCCATCCAATTCCATGCTGAGGATTAGACCCACAGTCTCAAGCACAAGCAAGTGCTCTACCACTGAGCTACATTCCCAGGCTTAGTAAACCATTTTTAAAAGGAAATCCTGGCAAACAGTTTTTTAAAAACTGGCTTCAGATTATACATACCTGTTTGTTCTTTTTCTAGCTTTTTGTTTGGGCCTTTCTTCCCTTGATCTTTGGTTTTATTCGCTTCCTCATGTTGTCTTTGTTCAGCAAGAGACTTATTCAACACTTGTGTGATGACAGAATCTCCTTCACCAACCAAAAACATGTTCTTAAACTTGTTATACAACATGGTAGACTTCTCCATGATAACTTGACTAACTTTGAATCGCCGTATCTGAGAAAACAATATGTATTTATAATTGTTTCCCTGGTTGTTTGTTTACTTATACTTATWTTTTTAATGAAGTAATATGAAAATGTTAAAAGCCTATGTGAGTTGATATACTTACTTTTTTCAGGGTTGTAATCATCTCTGTGTGTTTCTGAGCTTGTTGCATTGTGACCTGAAGTGAAGCAAGTTCATCCAAGGCCTCAATGCATCTGTTCACATCCTTCATGACAAAATAGTAATTATTAATTATTTCACAGCATATATAATTTATTTCTGAAGATTTTTTTTAAAGTCAAGGCAGTACAAATTAACCAGTGATTGTCCCTTTTATCTTAAATTAATTCAATGAGAAACAAAAATGAAGCTATAAAAGCAGCACTGTATTTTTAAAGGAAGTTAAACACTTACAAGATTATCAATTTTGAGTGAATTTTTTATTTCAGCATGTATCCTTTGAAGTCGAGAATCCATTGATGTTTCTATAAATTAAAATATGTGAAAAACAGTAAATAGTTTTTCCAAYACTAGTGTTTTTGTATAATCTGCTTTATAATGGAAAGAAACTGTGGCTTCATAAAAATATATATTTTACTAAGAAACTCTTTATAGATGAACAATTGCTTAAGAATAAGAAGTTACCTGCAATTTTTAATATATAGTTTAGGAAAGCAACAAACAGCATGAAAGCACAAAATATGCCATTGTCTACATCCAATGAACTCTATACACCAATCCATAAAACACCTGCCTTACCTTATACACTTAACCCTAATTAAGCAATCAGACAAAAATGAGAAAGTGTTTAGCTTTTGTCCAAGTTAGAAAAATCTGACATCAAATGACAAATATTAAAATACAAAGATTACTATTTAGCAAGTTCACCTAGTTACGCTTAAAGTACAATGTAATTTATATAGAATTCATCAGGAATCTGAATGTTTTTGTAGGACATAAGAAAATGAGGCTGATTCTGAAGCCAATCATGAAAAATTGTCTACAAACTTTCTATGTATGCTTTTATACGTCGTAGAAAGTGAAATAACTAACCTCGCTTCTTCTCCACTTTCTTAACTTCTGGCTTCTTTCCTTCATCTTTATTCTGCCTATCAAATGTTAACACAAATATTTCAAAACATTGGAACTTTGTGACTGATTACCAAATGCCCACAATCCCTTATGTAAATAATAAAAAATTTTCCTTATACTAATAAATCAATAGCTTAGACCACAAAGAATTGATTACAGTGTTTAGAACCAGAGCTCCACAGCATTAGTACAAATATAAGCAAAACTCAATATGCTAAATTAAATCTAACAATCTTTTTAGTGACTTCACAAAATGATTTTGGAACTGTCACAATGAAATTTTCTTTCCAACATGAAATATATTAAAAGCCCACTTTCAGATCAACAATCTACAATGGGAAGAATACTATAAACATTTAATGGATTCTACATCACAATTATTTTTAAAAACAGCACATTTAAAACAGACCAATTTAGGGCTGGAGTTGTAGCTCAATGGTAGAGCGACTGCCTACATGAGGCTTTCTGGGTCTGATCCCCAGCACTACAAAAACAAAACAGACCAATTTAATTGTTCACCACATCTCCGAAGTACAGGTAATTTAAGGGATTTTGAAGTAAGCGTCAAGATTAAAATACTGTTTTTAAGACACCTATGAAATTTTTTAAAAATTGGGGAAGGGGAAGCCATTATCAAATTAAATGACATCCACTAACATTTATATACCATTTCAAATGAAAAGGTACCATTTTTACTATGAATCACAAAAATAACCATTTAAAATTGAAATCGTAACTTCTAGTACCTTGSCTTGGCAATCAGGCCATACTATAAACCAATTAAAATAGACAAGAACAAAAAATATCTAAAAATCAGGTTTTTTTTTTWAAAAAAAACTTTATTTTAAAATTTTGGTTACAGTTTCATTTTTTTCTTAACAAGTCTACTGATTAATCTCTCAGGATTTTAAAAAAAACAATCATTAAGATTCTAAAGAATTAAACAACAAGGAATGTCAAGGGAAGGGCACAATTGCCCCATTCTCAGGGATATATAGCTATTCCAGTTAATACCTAGCTTCAAAACAAAATGAATTTTTATATTTTCTAAATGAAATAATGTACAACCACCATCTTCATCTAGAATTGTTAT